CGGCCAGAAGGTGCTTTAGTCTAGTGGCAGCTTTCAGGCCTTGCTTTGGGCCAATCCCTTTTGGGTTCACTTTTGCCCACGAGGGGATGGGTAGCTTCAGGTGTTTGATTTAGAAGTTCTACTCTTTGTGTTCCGTATTGTATATTCACTGTATTAAAGTCCCTTTTCATTAAAGTTTTATGTGTTTTGTCTTGTTGCGGGGGTTGGCAGAACCCACTTAGAGAAGGCAGGTTTTGGGCTTTAGGGTTTTTCCTCTCTCCCTGTCCTATAACAGATTTTGTCCTGTAACACTTCCACCTTACTCACACAGGGGTTCCCCATCAGAATCTCCTCATGTAACAGGGTGGTCCCCTTGTAACAATCACAGCCCCGGTCCCCTTCTGGGGGTGAGCTTCACAAGAGCCCATCTCCCCAGCCCACCCCGGCAGCCTGCCCGCCCTCCCCCAGTCTCAAATGCTGCGCGCCCCCTGTGCCTCCCCCACACCGGCCCGGCTGGGTCATCCCAGACCACCTTCTGCCTGCCGAGTGCGATCCAGACCAGGGCCTCCGCGCAGCTCAGGAGAATCCCCCGTACGCCCCCACGCTCCTCTGGGAGATTCATCACAGAACCCCGACCCCTGCTCTCCTCTCAGAGATCAGAGCAGCTCCCAGCCTCGGGATCCCCGGCGGGGCTGCGCCCCTCGTCTGGGCTGCCTCGCGTCCGCCTCGCCGGCTCCACACTGTACTTGCGCCGGCGCAGCGGCTCAGTGAGGCTCCGCGGCGGCGCGGGGTCGTCCAGGTCCTCCGGCAGCAGAAAGCTGCGATCCAGCAGCTCCGCCGCCTCCTGCCAGTTGGCGAAGCAGGCTGGGCCCAGACGCCGGATCTCCTCGGTCGCATCCCTCGTGAGCACTTCCCCGCCTGGCTTCAGTACCACGACTGTGGGGAGACGCTCCACAGAGAACTGGCGTCTGAGGTCCCTGCGGGGTGGGGGTGGGGACAGGTCAGTCGGGCCGGCCCCTGACCGCACAGCCTTCCTCCTGGTATTCAGTGGGAGCCTTCTGTGCACTGCCTGATGCCGGGCTCTGGGGGCCGGCGGGGCCGGCGGGGCCGGCGGGACAGGCCCCCACCTCAGCCCTATTGCTTAGACGGTGACCCCTGCCTGGATGGCTCTCCCCAGCCCTGCGAGGAAGACCTGCTTGTGCTGCTGTCTTCCTTGTGTGTGCCTCAGTGTGCTACCTGTTGTCACCTAACCTCAAATCACCACTGGGGCGAGGGTGTCCCAGGCAGACGGTACCCCTGGTGTAAAGGTCCCTAGACTGGGGTTGCAGCCTTAGGCACGCTGACCCTCTTGGCTTGGGGGTACATCAGAGCCCAAGCTAGACTGGTTTGAAGCAGGACCCTCAGGAGACCTGGGCCAAACCTTGGACCAAACCTCACCTCTAGGCCAGAGTCCTGCACAGTCAACATGGAGCAGAGCCAGCTGCTAGACTGGGCCTCTCCTTAGGATTCTGAATTTTCACCCACTGAGTTCCTGGGTTATTTTCCCACATGGAGAAGACGTGGAATTTATTCATCCCACAGGAGTTAAGTTGCCAGACAATGAGGAGAAATACAGGACACCGGGTTAAATTTGAATTTCATAGCAACAGCAAATCAATTGTTAGTCTATCTCAAGTAAGTGGGGATGTACTTATGCTGTATTACTTACTTATTATTCATGTGAGATTTGTGTTAACTGGGAGCCTGTCTTTTTTTTTTTCCCCTGGCAACTCTGTATGGGGACAGAGGCCAGCGCTGGGAGCTAGGAAGAAAGGACTCCACGCGGGGAAACTGCACTCGCCTGGGTGGGTGATTGTACAGAGGGACCCGTTCGAACCAGGTCTGTTTTGAGCTTTGATGTTCTTCCAGCCAAAGTTTCTGCCCCAGGGAGAGAAATGTTGCCAGTTTCCAGGTAAAAAATAGAGGCTGCAGGCGGCAGTAGGTGTGAGCAATTTTGATAATTCTGAGTGGAGAGGTTAGCGATCTATGACCAGAAACCTCCATTTTGTGTAAGGAAATGAAGGACAGGCAAAATGTGACAAGATTGCCAACTCACTTTCAAACTCACCAACACTACATGATGCAGATCAAGCAAAGATGGCAAAATGTTCACAGTTTTGTGGGGTTCCATGGTATGCTTGTCAACTTTGGGGAGTGTTTGAACATTTTCATAATTAAAAGTTGGGGTTTGATATCTCCTTGCCAGGGAAGAATTCAACTACTTCTTTTCAGCTCCAGTGCCTGCAACGGCTCCCAGCTACTCTGAGGATCACATAACTCACGTTTTCTTCAGGCGGTGTTTGGGACTGTACTCCTGTGGTGCCTGTTGAATTCTCATAGTGGAATTACTTACAATTCCCTGAGCTGACTATACTTTCTCTAAAGGTTTCTGAGCTGTGACACCCCCTTCCCTTTTTACATCATCCTTGGGAGCCTCTTTCTAAAGCTATTTTCTTGGCTAGGCATTCTCTGACCCTCAAGTCTCAGCAAAGTCTCCCCATAATATTTCCATAGGTTATCCTCTGGACTATTATTGCATCGTTTCGTTGTATCTGGACTATTATTGCATCATTTTATTATTTATTTATTGAGTCTTTATTTCATATCTGTTTCCCATTTTTATTTTATATCTGTCAGAAGCTCATGGGAACTAGATGGAAATGGACATATATGGTCATGCCCCTCTACTCACAGTTCTTAGTACATGTACTGGACCAGATGCATCACAAACATTTATTTCATTGTCAGCAGAAACACCCCCTCATCCAAGAAGCCCTCCTTGATTTTCCCTCCCCTCTCACCTCCTCAGGTCATCCTCAAAAGGCAGGAAGAGCCACTTCTTGGGCATGTCTCTGAGGAACAGGTCCTGCTGCTCCTCTGAGTAGTCCTGGGACACGTACACCAGGGTGAGCTGTGCAGCCCTCAGCACATAGAATTCATCTGTGAGCTGTGTGAAGAAGTCCTTGAGGACAGGTAGGAAGGCCTGGCACCGCGAGCATGTCCCAGCACCAAAGAATAACAGCACTAGTCTGTTCTCCAACTTGCGGCTGAGTTCAGCCTCTGTGTCCAGCTCATCCTGGTCACTGTTGTTGCGAATCAGGATGTGTCCAGAGAACAGGGAGGCCATGGCAGCCTGGCTGGGTGCTGGGGCTAGAGCTGTTTCTGTGCCTGGATTAGGGATCTTCAAGAGGGCAGGTTTCCGACTTCACTAATCTGCTTAAACTGAAACCTCATTCCATGGTGCTTCTGAGGGCAGGGGTGGGATGCCCCTTAGTAGAGAGCTGTAAACTCATTGTAAAATTGCATAGAATTGCAAAGGAAACAAATCATACTGACGTATGGTGCCCAAAAATTGTATTACGTGGTATAAATATATATGCTCTTCTTCTTCTTTTTTTTAAATATATGTTTATTTTTACATCATTTTGTACATTTTTTTTTCATCTCAATTGTAATCCCGCGGGTTTCCCATCACCAAGTCATCCATGTGCCATCACCATAATCCCATGCACTTCCCCCCCGCGCCCCCGCGCCCGTTTTTGATCCCATTCCCCACTCCACCCCCGCAAAATGTCTCTGGTATATGGCTGTTCATTATTCTTATTATTTTCTTGCCTGGTCCATTATACTCCAGCTGTTGGGGACTCTTTTTTCCCCCAACATGGATTATTGGGGGGCAGAACAGGCAGGGTCTGGAGGTGGGAGCTGTGTCGGCGAGGAAAAAAGGAGGAGTGGGCATGAGGAAGACATGGGAGTGGGAGTTGGGTGCAAGTCTTCCCATTCTGCTGTCAGTAGTTTGTTTATACAGTTTAGGCGGGCAATTAACATATGAATGGGGCTGAGATGACAATCGTTTTTCTGAGAGCAGTTTGGGGTCATACTGACCTTAATTTTTACTAAGACATCTTAGAGGGTAAAGTAAGGTAAGGATTAGGGTGGAGTGACTCTCTTGTAAGTCAATCACAAAGAGATACAGTAAGGTTCCTCAAAAACTGAATAGAGGATTTAGGTGAAAACTAAAATAGAGGATTTATTTTAAAACTAAACAGAAAACTTAAGCAGTTCTTTAGAAGGATTATGTGAGATAGAGGACATAAGGGATTTGGGTTCTTGTCTGCACAGTAAAAGAATTCTGATTATTCTAGTGCTGCCTTGTCTGACAATATTAATTTTGTTATAATTGTTTTTATTAATCAGCCAGTTGTAATATTTTTGATTCCAAGAGAACTTTCCCATCCGGAGGCAGCGCTTGCTCACCTGAGCCAGGCAGCACCTTATGAGGCTGAGGCAGTCCAGTAGAAAACTGATGGTTGCTTTGAATATTTTGACTATACGGAAAAAGGGGGGGGTCGTAACATGAGCTAGTGTGGAAATTCTGATTTTTCAGGGCATTTCCCCTCCATGCGGAATATGTCTGACTGTAGAGGTTGCTTAGCTTGAATCATCCTGCTATGAGCGAAACCATCTGGTATTTTTCTTTTTCTTTCTGGCTTATCTCACTAAGCATGATCTTTTCCAGCTCCATCCAAGCTGCTGCAAAAGACATGTGTTTCTTTTTTTTTGGTTGCTGAGTAATATTCCATTTTGTATATGTATATACTCTTCTTTTTTTTTTTTAACGATTTATTTATTTATGCATACAGAACTGGAGTACAAGCCAGAGGTGCAGGGGTGGTGAGAGGATTCACCAGAGATAGAGTGGGGAGCAGAACAGGCAGATTTCCGAAGTACACTGCTGAGGGGAGCAGCGGGTGGGTCAGGAGAGGTCTGCCATGCCTATACTCTTCTTTTAAAGTGCATCAATTAATTTTAATTCATGAGGGTGCTACTAATTGATTTCCAAGTTGAGATAAGTGAAAAAGACATTTTCACTTATGCAGTGACAAGTATGTGGCATGAGATTATTTTTGATTCCCACTGGTGACAAAGTCACAGGCCAGCTGATGCCTGCTTTAACACAGCATACTAAATTCCAGTTAGAAAGTAAAGTAAACAAACATGTCTGTTTTTCTTCCACCCTTTTGAATTCTCTCTGGACAGCCTACGTAAGATTCTTGAATTGGCTGGGGCGTTTTTTTTTTTTTTTGGCATAAAAGAACTGGGGTATATATAGGTCAGAGTTGCAGAGAGGTGAGAGGACTCACCAGAGAGAGTGGGGAGCAGAACAGGCAGACTGACTGAAATACATTTCTTTCTTTCTTTTTTAAAAAAGATTTTATTTATTTATGCATACAGAATTGGAGTACAGGCCAGAGGTGAAAAGCGGTGAGAGGATTCACCAGAGACAGAGTGGGGAGCAGAACAGGCAGATAGACAGAGGACACTGCTGAGGGGAGCAGCGGGGGAGGCAAGAGAGGTCTGCCAGGCCATGTGGATCGCTTTTGGGGTGGGGATCAAACACTCTGAAGTGGCCACGACTTGTCTTAGCTTCACAGTGCAGCGCTCCAACCTGCTGTGCCTCCAGGGAGGGCCCTGGAATACATTTCTAAGGGAAGCAATGGGCAGGGCAGGAGATGTCTGTTAAACCTGGCCAGGGATCACACTCTGGCCATAGAGGTGATACTGCTGAGACTCAAATTTTAGGCACCAGGGAGGCTTTGGCTTTTTTTTTTTTTTTTAAGATTTGTTTATTTATGCACACAGAACTGGGTACAGGCCAGAGGTGGGGTTGGTGGTGAAAGGATTCACCAGAGACAGAGTGGGGAGCAGGTGGATCTACTGAAACACACTGCTGAGGGGAGCAGTGGGTGGGTCAGGAGAGGTCTGCCGTGCCATGTGGGTCAGCTCCCTGGCTGGGCTAGAATTCCTGCTGCAGTGGCTGTGATAGCTTCATAGTCCTGAGCTTTAACCAACTGCACCAGCAGAGAGGACCCTGTTCTTTTTCTAACTGCCTCAGAGCTGCTGTGCTGCTTTTACTTGTTTCTGTGGGACACCCTTTACTTTTCTCATCCTCTGCCCCCCCCCCATCCTGGCAATCTCTCCTGGCATAGAAAGTTTAGAATTATGGCCACAGTAGTTTGTGGGCCCTCTTCCATCAAGAGCTAGAGGCTGATGCACTGGTGGTACAGGGATTAAAATCTCAGTGCTGTAACAGCCACTGCAGCACGAGTTTGAGCTGACCCACATGGCACAGCAGACCTTTCCTCTCACCCACTGCTCCCCTCAGCAGTGTATTTCAGTAGATCTGCCGATTCTGCTCCTCATTCTGTCCCTGGTGAATCCTCTCACTCCCCACACCTCTGGCCTACACCCCAGTTCTTGTATGCACAAATAAAAAAAGTCTTTAAAAAATAAAATAAAGGGCCAGATAGTAAATAACCCTGCCACTGTCATACAAAAGCAGCTGGAGACAATATGTAAATGAATTTATATATCTAGATTCCAATATAACTCTAATTATACCATCTGAAATTTGAATTTTATATAATTTTCATGGGTCATGAAATAAAGTTGACTCTTAAACAGTGTGAAGGAAGGGGAACTGACTGATTCTCACCCAGTTGAAAATCTGAGTATGTCTTTTGACTCCCCAAAATATTTAACTGCCTCCTCCTCCCTTAGTATCTGACGGTATTCGTTTCAGAACCCTCTATGGGATACCCAAATCCTAAGACACATAAGTCCTTACTATTGGCCTCTGTATCTATCTACAACTTCTACATTTGTGGATTCAGCCAAGCTCAGATGTTAAGAGACCTCATATCCATCCAGTGGATATGAAGGGCTGACTATATTTTTTGAAAAAATTCTAAGCGGCCCCATGTAGTTCAAACCCATGTTGTTCCAGAGTCAATAAGATTAGCCTTTTGATATTTTCCAACCACTCAAAATCATTAAAGTCATTCTTAACTCACAGGGAGCCAGGCTTAACCTGGTTGCAGACCTCTGCTCCAGCCATGTGGAAGAGAACTCAACACCCAGCCAATAACCAGCATCAGGCCATGCTGTGACACAGGTGACCCCAGACCAGACAAAAATGGGACAGAGCAGAGTGACTGGGCCAGGTGAGCTAGCAGAGGACCCACTGGATGTTAATCTATGTTGCAGGAAACCATTTACGTAGGGGTGGCTTGTCACACAGTGATAGTTGGCTTTAGGATTAAAAGAAGTTGTTAGTACAGGCTTTAAACAATAAAAAGGGATCACAAAATCCTCCTGCCCTGAACTACAACTCATGTTGAAACCTCTCTGAGCACTGGATCTTATTCATAGTAGTCACCTCTTAGTCCTGGGAGTGCCATGTGGGTCAGTTCCCTGGCCAGGGATCAAACTGGTGCCGTGACTATGGATATCTTCATAGTACTGAGACTTAACCTCCTGTGCCACCAAGGACGCCCGGCCCTATCCCATTCTTTAACTCAAAGTATATGCTCCCACTTTGCTCCACTGTTATTTAGAACCCACCTCTGTGTAGATTCCCTCATCTGTAATTAAATTCAGTCTTTTCTCTAAGAAATCTAAGTGATGCTAATTAGATTGCCTAACCAGCCTGAGAAGAACCCAGGGGGTGGGGAAATTTCCTCTCCATTCCTACAATGCAAGGCTTTGTGAAAAGGCCCATTCCAGATACATTCCTTCTTTATTCTATTTAGAAACAATTTCCTGGTCAGATTTTCCTCACCTCAGTTAGAACCCCAGGAAGTCCCAGCTTGTGAATTCATTAATTACTGAGAAAATGGAGAATGCTTCTATTTTATGAGGTGCTGGTGCTGGGATCCTTTTTTTGGAACAGCCCTATGAGGTCCATATGCTTTTTTTTTTTTTTTTTAAAGATTTATTTATTTGTGCATACAGAACTGGGATACAGGCCAGAGGCTAAGGGGCGGTGAGAGGCTTCACCAGAGACAGAGTGGGGAACAGAACAGGCAGATCGACCAAGTACACTGCTGAGGGGAGCAGCGGGTGGGTCAGGAGAGGTCTGCCACACCATGTGGTCACCTCTGGGGCAGGCAGGAATTGAACTCATGCAGAAGTGGCTTTAGATTCTCAGTGCTGTGCTTTAACCCGCTGCGCCACCAGGGAGGGCCAGGTCCATATGCTTTTATACCATTACAGAGGAATCATAAACCTCAGAGAAGTTCATTGTGCTGCTATGTCACCCAGCAAATGTCCTGTGTCAGACTACAC